CTGATGCGCCAGCCGCAATCCAAGATCCTCTAAAAGGCTCAACTAACTTCACAAGAAATGATTTTTGGGTTCCTATCGTTATTTATATTGGGTTCTTGCTGATTAGTCTGGTAATTATGTTACACAATAGTACGGACATGTAGATGTGATATGAAAGTTAACAAATATTTGCAAGTACCCAAATATGACAATAGCTACTTCTCTCTGGACTTTGGCTATTGGGTACATTCAGCTTTGTGGTGGTCAAATCAGAAGTGATTTATCGGAAGGTTTTGCAGGAGCGGCAAAACTTCCATACGAAAAGTAGTATTTCAAAAGATGTCACCAAATGAGACTCTATTTGTAGAAAGCACTGCTCGGGTTACGAAAGACGGTATGCATTTTCTTTTTTCCCCATCCATATTTCATTACTACTTGAAATAAAACAATGTTCGTTATAGTTATCGCTTCTTCATTCATAAATTTCGAGACACTGGAGTTTCCTGGCCAGATGGACCCATTTGATAGCTCACTTGATCCAGTAGCTACATTCAAACGATGTGGTTAGTAAAATTAGCGTCTTCCATCTTGTTTTGTATGTGTTACGCGTTCTACAAAAGTGCGCCATTCTCAATCACTTTTTTAATCCTTCCACATCACTCTCGTATCGGAGACTGTCGTATCTGATTTTCAATATTATGCATCGTAGCACACAATAATTCTTATGGTGCATTCACATGCTTAGTTTCCTTGATACAGCACATTCTAGGTGCTCTGCTCTTTATCGTGGATGCTCAAGACGAGTACGTGGACTCATTAAAGAAAATGTCCGAGAATTTCACGCAAGCGTTTCGAATCAATCCGAACATCAAATTTGAAGTCTTCATACACAAGGTAGGATTTTAGGATTGATACTTAAGCTACGAAATAATTAAGTGCGTTCAATTCTGGTGGATCAGTGTTGAACAGTTCGCAAATTTGTTTTTCTAAATTGGTATTTGTAATTCCTGCGTGTTCTGATCGCAACGAAGAATTGAAAAAGGCTGTTCATCAGATGTGAACGATATATTGTTTCATCATTTGTAGCAGCATCTGCTCTTCGGTGAACTTTGACAATAATTCTGACTCTGTATTGATATATCTGGGAAATGATTGGAAGGGTTAGTTCCAGAAATAGCAACACACAGAGTCAAAATCACGTTAGCTATATTCTGTTTAGCGAAACTCTCTGTCTTAAGGTTACACTCTAGGTCACTTTATACCGAGCGATTTTCTTTCTTTCTGATCAAGTGTGGAGAAGAATTTCACAGTCAACGTGCTAACTATAATGCCAACAAGTTCTGAAACTAATCCTCAAACTCAAAAAAACTTTTGAAACATTCAAATGTATTGGAGGACTAGCATCCATACTCTTCAAAATAAGGTTAGACTTTTTGATTTGTCCTTACATGACAGCATTTTTCAGGCCGACGGTTTAACGGAAGAAAGCAGGGTTGATGCACAGTATGACATCTATCATAGGGTAAGTACTTAAGAGCAATAAAGTATAGCCTCCACACAATTTTTTTCCACACTGTCAAGCTGACGAAGTAAGATGCAGCTTGTTAACATCTCGTCCACTTTATGAATATGTCCGTGTACCATGAAAGTTGAGGTTAAATGCGAGCTTGCTGAACAAGGTCTTGAAGACTTCAATGTGACCTTTCACCTTACTTCTATCTACGACCACTCAATCTTTGAAGCCTTTTCGAAAGTGGTTCAGAATCTTGTGAAACGACTACCTACTTTGGAGCGGTTACTCGACATCTTCAATCAGGTTTTAATGTAGATTTACTTTTGGTTCACTTCATTCCAATATCTTGTTGTATTGGCATCTAACTTTTCCAGGTAGTTTGAGAGTATGCCATTTATAAGAATTCTAGGGT